TATATATATATATATATATATATATAACGGTTTGGATGGTTAAATGTGCTCAATAAAGACCCATCGATAATAATTACTGAAACTTTTTTTTTAAAGAATGAAAAGAAGAGAATTTGTGGAGAGAGAATCAAGTATAAATTCTTTTTGGTGAAATATGGGAGGGTAGGGTAGGTTATAATTAGCTTGAGGATTTTGAGGAGGGTGGACCGTACAAATAGAAATGAATGAGGTGAAAGAAGGCACAAGTAAGACTCTAATAATAAGGTAATGATGAAGGGTTTGGGATTGTCATTTAGAAAAAGTAATAACTCTAACATATTTAGCTCTTTAATTTAATAGTTTGTTCCAATCAAGCCCTTCCACTATAAATTTCTTTCTAAAAGCTGTTTAAAGTTAATTTAGGATGCACCTGGGCCTGCCCAGATTGGTGAATGTAATACCCTATTTTTAGTGGAATGATAAAATCTTGCTATTCTCAGAAAAAAAAAAAATAAAGTAGTTAATTTAGTATCAAAATAAACAATTTCAGAACCAAACTATTGTACATTTGTAGTTTCTCCATCAATGTGTTATTGTCTAATGTCGATACTGACATGAATTGGTTCTTGTGCTTTTGGCTTTAATTCCCTTCATTCTTTTTCTGATCTTTTGTTATCAATGCTCAAAAGCAGCAAAATTAGTAAAAAAATAGCAAAATTCATCTATAAAAAATAACATTTCTAAAACCAAAAATTAAGAAAAGTTACTTTTTTGGCTTAAGCGTAAGTGCAATAAGATGTACTTAATTACATTATAGTTTGAAAAGTTACTTTGAAGAATTTATTTTTATGATAGAAAAACTTCGAAAATTTTATAATAGGGAAATTTCAAAAATTTTTTAGAAAACTTTTAAGTTGCATGATGAGAGAAATAATTTTCTCCCTTCTCCATTCCTACATATACCCCACCGCATACCTCTAACTCAAACTTTGAAGATCTTTAAAATTTGAGACAAATGACTTAATTAAGGGGGTTAATCCTAGATTATCCCTTTAAAAATAATTAATAATTATGGATTTGTACTTGTGTCACGTTGTGTAACTATTGTACCAAAACACTGTAACTTTTAATCGATCATTTTCTGACTTCCGTTTGAAAATAACACATTTCTTTTAAGCAGGTACAGCGCTTACTTCTCCTTTTCTATGAGAATATTTTCATCAAATACTGAAAAGCATATTTACCAATGTACCCCGCCCCCAAAAAAAAAGGCGTATATTTTTGAGATGCTTACCAACAAAAACCGTCAAAACCAGGGGCTTAATTACCATGAAAAACTTTTTGATTAATTAGGTATTTTCTCCCATTTTGTACAAATATTAATTTTTTATTTTATTTTGAACATATATATAATCACTGCACGCCTAGCTATTATACTATTATTTGGACTTCATATATCTAAGTGTTGAATTCGCACCATTTAAAAATTATAGTGTAAGCCCTCCAACGTACTAAAAAAACCCATAAAATAACGAAACGTACAATCAATACATGCATGAATCCGACTTGTGATCACCTTAATTATAAGTAATCA